AAGAAACCTGCGTACGCCCAATACACAACGGCGTTAGCTTCCTCACTTTCTCGTGAGCCGTCGCGGAGGGTGGGCGTGCGTCTCATACTCGTCCTTTCTCTTGTTACTAACCCATTGTTTGTTGCAGGCATTCGACAACCATCAATTTATTTACTGTGCATATTGTTGTGTCCCCTCTCTTGTTACTAATCCTTTGTATGTCACAGATGTTCGAGAACCATTGGCTTCGATATTTATCTTCTTATGTACTGTGATTCATTTACTGTGATTTATTTACTGTGCATATTATTAATTTATTTATTGTGCATATTGTTGTGTCCCCTCTCTTGTTACTAATCCTTTGTATGTTACAGATGTTCGAGAACCATTGACTTTGATATTTATTTTCTTATGTACTGTGATTCATTTACTGTGATTTATTTACTGTGCACATTATGTATTTTATGTGTATTGTATAATGAAAAATATTTTTCCAATCAGTTATTCCATCAAAAGAAGACCGATCAACGTCTACATTTTCAAAGCGTGCGTCTACCACTGCGTAGTAAGTTACTGTAAGTTAAACTTAAATCATAATTCGATATTCATTGTTATATTCATATTCATCATCACATCGTTTATTATTAATTTTAGTCTATCTATTAATAGACTTAAATTGTGACCATCCATTGTGCATACCAAGTTATTATTAATTCATTTTGCTCGTTGATTCTCTACACAGACTTGGGGTACGGGCAGTGGGTCTGTACCTATGGTACGGGCAGTGGGTCTGTACACTAAGACTGTTTGCCGATCCCTCTGGTTTCTATTGACAAGCCAGATATCGGACGTGTTTAGTCTTTGCCTGGTAAGTAGGATTTGGAGAAAGACTCGTGCGTGCAAGGGTACGGAGTAGTCGGGAGGCTGCTCCGTAAACAGAGAATCTCGCTTGCACTACCATGCTTGTGTACTCTTTTGGTTCGGGTCTGGTACGCAGGTGACCAGCCCAAAGCTCCATGGCAGTAAAAGATGGATCCGGGTTAGCGAGGTGTCGCCCGTCTTTCCTATTTTCTTAAACCAGGTTCTGGCGACAACACTTGCATCGCGATACTTGTTCATACTGTAGTTTAACGTGTTTCATCGTAGACTTAATAACTGCTCGGTATACAGAATATTAGGTGCATAAACGAAATGATCGATGGAACTTTTTCCATTCCGTCTATCTCGTTCGTTTGAGTATTAGCGACTACGTTGCGTTTAGTTTAAGTTATTTTGTATTAATAGCATTAATTCGTATTAAGTAGAATATTAAGATAATATTAGTTCTAAGCTGAAGGACGAAGACAACCGACGAGGGAACTTAGTTTTTTATAGGTTTAGGCTCATGAAAGAAGTCATCCGCCGAGGGATTTTAGTACCGATAGTATTA